CACACACACACACACACACACACTTTTCTTTTTATTTTAGGTTTCTTTCAGCTATAAGCTTCAGTCACCAAAATAGTTCTTTTCAGAAAGTCATTGCAACTTGCACACCAACAGAGTTTTTGTTCCAGCTTTACTTCCTGCTGCTACTTTGATTTAAACCCAGCTTAGCAGGCTACATTACAGGGTGACTTTAACAATATATCTGCTTTTTACTTTCTACAGTAAAATGCATTTCTACATTGTATTTTAGCTTCTCTGCAGGTGTAGCTTCAGATGATCTGTTTAACTATCTGAACTTCCTTTATAAATTGCCCCAAATTATGACTTAAGAATTCGGCATTGGTGACATATTAAAATGTTATACTTGGATCTGTAGATGAGATAATTCTCTTAATTACAGTTGACTTTTTAAATTCCACTGTACCATGATTAAGATTTAAAAAGTGTCAAGGATTTTGTGGATTTAGCTTTGAATTAAATTTTTACAATTTACCTGTCAAGTGTAAGCATTACACAACCCTTTTTTCAAAGATTTATCTGGCACCAACTCATGTTTAAAAAAAACTATCCTTCGGCAGCTCCAGAAAACTGGCCTATGAATGACTCGATCAACAAAGTATGAAAATCCCAAAGGTGCTTTGAACGTAGCTGTCAGTTTACCAGTTAAATGAGGAGTGAAAGAGAAAAAGAGGTAGGAACACGTGTCTGAAGAACGACTAGCTTTAGCAAACAAAGTAAACAACAAAATGAACCAGAATTATTTGAGCCCTCTGAAAACAAGGGAAATCAGATTGTAATATAATTTATATATAATAATTAGTGGTGAAACTCAGTTAAAAACCATATTCAAGTAAATAACAGGGTTTGTGATTGATTAATTGCAATAACTCCTTAATAATCAATAACCATAAATTGACAGATAAAACAACCGTTTCAATTTTTTTTATATAAAAAAAAAACTGAGCAAAGCAACACAGATGTCTGTTGTTTTTAATCCGTTATTTGGGTTATTAAAACATCATATCCAAAGTTCAAAGATTATTGGTTTAATAATCATGTTTCATTATTTAGATAACCATGATATTTGATGTTACTTTTTTTTTTAACTACTTCTTTAGAAGTGTGAATATTATATTAACACTGACATAACAATACTAAGATGTTTTTTTAAGCTTCAGTGCTTCCAGTATTTATTTACTGTAATTGCGTCACTTTCTTTAAACCCACACTAAAGTGTTGGCCCTAATAATATAATTTCACTGTTAGATTAGGTCAGTTTGTGCTTTATAAACATTTAATGAGTAACTAAGAAGAAAAACAAGCTTTAATGAAATATTTAGCTATTAAAGTTGAAAGGTTATTATGCATTTTAGTCTTTAAAGGTTTATTTGTTGCCATGCCATCACCTTGAAATAAAGCAATCTAAATAATAAAAAATAAAGTTTTAAAAAGTCCTTTCTACTAAATCAGCCCTTTCTCTTTCTGTTCATATATCACAATCATCTCAGACTGTATATATATATAAACATTGCCATACACAAACAGATTCAACAGTTATATCCCCTAGATGCTGCACTGCTTTAAAAGTTTTGATATATTTTTATAATGGGTTTTGTATCGAGAAAGACAGCAGTCAGCTAACACTCTCCGGTCTTCACTTTAGTCAGAGGACATCTAGTTGACATGTTTGTTTAGGCGCATCATGAACAAAGTGTGATGTGACATTATCACTATGACAGCTTAAAAAATGTCAAGCTCACTCTACGCCGCATCTATAATATAGCATGTGTGCATGTTTTGGTGGCTTTACTTTGGCCTTGAGACTAATAAGGCAGCGACCTGTTCATTGTGCAACTTTTAACAACTAATTTTTAATGCTTAATCATTTAAGAATAGACAAAAAAAAAAAAAAAACCACATCTGGAAGCTAGCACTATGTATTTTATTTTGTGGTTTGTGTCTATATTTTCTAAGCGGTAAAGGTTTTTTTCTTGAATCAAATGTATGTTTATTTAAAAACTGGATTATCAAGCTTTTATAAATGTGAAAGATCAACTGTGAGTCTTAATAATTGCAGTTAACTGTACATTTGTAGTGTGTTTGCAGATTTGTGATTAAATGTTTAACATATCTTTTTCTACTGCAGATCCATTAGACCAAGGAGCAGTGCTTGAACCTTTTGAAGGTAAGGCTGATAATCTTTCTAGCAAGAAGAACTTGTTGACTCTTGTTTCTCCTACACTGTCATAACTGATCATGCTATCTGATTCTGAGCTGTGGGTCTTGGGTATTGCACAACTTCCTAGCTTAAATCTCTTCCATTGTGAATACCATATCTCGCTCTGCACTTTAAAAATGAAAATACAGCTGCACGTTGAAATAATTGCTTCAATTGGTAAGTTGCTGAATTAGTTTTTTGGCCTTTAAATAGTTGGCAAGTTGATTTTTTTTAAACTTGTAGGTATATTAAACATTTGTGACAATATTTATTTTGGTCACTGATAACATACAACATCAGAGACCAGTTGTAATGGATATAACACTTATTGTGTAAAAACTGGCACTGAGGGAACACATATGCTATCTTGGCTGTGTACATCATGCAATGGGTTTTTCACATTTTTGCCAAAATCGACTCTGAGTGTTGACAAAGACCCTTCCTTTAGTCTTTAAATTTTATTTATCTCCATATTTTATCGCTGTTCTAGTGTTAACATCAGACATGTAGGCAAAAAAAAAAAAAAATGTTGCTGTCATAGTATTCTAGTGAGCATTATGCTGTTTTCCTAATTTAAAGAGTTCTTTTAGGGCCCAAGACTATAAAATTGTCAGTTATATATGGTTTTTAGTCATGGCTCATTTTCATTTCTACAGGGATTGACTGCTTACTACAAAACATGATAAACTGCAGCCGCCAAGGATCAGAGGTTCACTTAATGGCTTGTCTAAAGAGTTGAAATTACAGCCCACTGTATAAAAAATGCATTCTGTTCAAAGAAAGATTAATTTGTATTAACCTACTTAATTGGAAACTGATGGGCTCCAAACTTGAATCAGACTGTGGAGCAGTGTGGTTATTGTAACTGCAACAAACCTAGGTCATTCGATTTTTTGTTGTTGCTAGTACTTCCTGCCCTGTTATTGCACGGTGAGCCTAATAAAGTATCAAAGGAATGAAGGTGTATGATTAAGAAGTGAATATATGAAAACATTTTGATGTATATCTACTCTGTATGTATGCACCTTTTTTTCCAGAATAAATAATACATTTCTCTTCAGTACAGAAATATATATGAGAATAAAGTTAAGTAAGTATAAAACAGCCTTATCTAGTTTCAGATTGACTCATTTGAGCTTGTGTGTTTCAAGCTGTGCACACGTTGAGGCGGCTGTGGAGACATGAGGAATAACTGTGACTGGCTCCAAGCTAGACCAAAAATAGCCTTTATTGATTTTCTTCAAGTAAGAGGAAAAGGTGTCAAGTTTTATAAGCTTATCAGAAAAAAATATGTTCTAGACATAACTTAATTATAGAAAAATCAGTGTTAAACTTGCAGAAGAAGGTTTTAGTACTGACATGTTGAACTTTTCCCATAAGACCGCTATTTATATTGTATATTATTAACTGCACATGCGATTTTCTGCTGCTCCAAGGCAGAGTGCACAGTGTGTGAACCGCCACAGTTTTTCTGTTCTAAGAGGAGAAAATAAATCTAAGGTTAACAAGATAAACTGGCCAAAAAAATGCCAAATAATTTGTTACTTGCAAAGAAGCTGAGGTTGGGTACGTAGTATAATAGGTTTATAGAGTGAGTGATGGTCTGCATTAGTGGTTGAAGCCAGATGACATAGTGGTGGTTTATTTGTGTTTTATTCCCCAAGCCAAGATACAAGCCTTAGACAGTCCAGCTACTGTATCTATCAATCCCACCACTTTTACATCATACTGAATTAAAAATATATTTGTCACAATGTTATCCTCTGTCCTTCCTAAATTATTGGAGCAGCTTAGAGGATTTCTAAAATAACTAACCATTGGTTTCACACACTGCAAAAACGGTCTAGAAGTAAGTGAAAATGTATTAAATTAAGTGAATTTACTCTTAATTTGAGCGGAAAAATAGGATGATTTGCCAATGGAATGAATATTTTTACTCTTAGAATAAGTTAATTAGATCATATGCACTTGAAATAAGACAATGCAGTTCTTTTTTCTTATTTCAAGTTTAAACTGTCTCGTTTCATTGGCAAAATGTGTCACTTACCCCCTCAATTTAAAAGAAAATGCACTTATTTTAAGACAAAAATGACTTAATTAGATTTACACTTTTGCAGTGCACAAAACAAAACTAAACTATTAGAAATAATGATATATATGTGTGAATAAGTCCTTATATGGACAAAGCACATTCTTTTGAGGACCAGAATGTTCACATTTTGGAAAAAGAAAATTGGTGGTTTGAGAGGGGCGTGAAGGAAGCCATCTATGTTAAGAAAGGAAAAAACAACCTTAATCAGATTTCAGATTTCAAAAACCTACGATGCAGGAATTGAGTTGATCCCTTCCCGCTATTCTCGCAACCCCAACCCCCTTATAGGGGAACAGAAGACCCTTACCTTTCAGCCAGGTAAACAAGTCCCTTTAACCAACCCCCTTTTAGGGACGTAGACAGGTATCGGGCATTGCAGGCAAAGAAGCCAAACGACCCTTATTCCAAAGGGATAGACCCGTTTGTCCGTTTCACTTTTCATGTTTTCTAAACAAAAACAAGGCTTTGTTGGGCTACTGTATAAAGCTTTGAACTCAACGCTATTTCTGGCATTTTTAAATGGAAAAGCTTCCTGTATAGGAAGGGAAAAGTCTTCAAAGTTGAAAACAAAGTCCAGTGGATTATTTTTGAACTTTTTTGGAATCGCTACCATAGAACTAAGTTTGTAGACCTGTAGACATTTCTACAAGGGGAATTACAATGTTATCAGAAAGCATTTTCTTGCAGCTACTTCTCATTGATAGTTTTGGGTATTTTATTTTACATGACTATTTCTGGCTACTCTGCTACAGTATATTAAACTAGATACCTTCTTAGAAACTTAGTCAGACTTGAGTATAGCAAACCTTTTTTTCCAAAGAATGTAGGAAACACCCATGTAACTTTTTGAAACACAGGACAAGAGCAAGGCCATCCAGACCAAAGCCCATTAGATATATTAACACTAAAAGTGTACATGCACAGCAAGAGGAAAATAGCTCTTTGCGAAAAAGGGCATGTGGAACCAGCAATAGATAAGATGATTCCCTTGAAACTTGAAGCTGAAAGAAGATTGTCGGTCATACCTTCAAGTTGTCTCAACTCCCATGTCAACACAAACCTGCTAAACTTTTATCCCTTTGGCACAAAAGGGAAACATTGAGGTTTGGCTTGAAAATGGACAAAGAGAAGAAATTGGTTATTTATAACATATGTCCTTTGCAGACTTATGCATTTAGAATTGCTTCTTAAAAGAAATAAATGATAAATTAGTTTCTAGAATAGCTCATTTACAACCTGATTAGACTCCCAGGGTTAAAACAAGTAATATTACACCTTGTGAAATAAGAAAACTAAAAAAAATGGTCTTCATCAGAGTTTATAGAATAAACATTTGTAACGACGAAAGTCACAGTCTGTGAACAGGCATGCACATGAAGTTGTAAACAGAGACCACTCGAACTACGGTGCTTGCTGTTTTGTATCTTAGGGTTAGGGTCAGGGTTAGGGTTAATTGTATGTTAAATTCTATGTTATTGAATGGTGCGTAACATGCGCATGCGCAAGGATATCTTGTCTCGAGGCAAGACGTAAAAATACGACGAAATACGACGAAAAAAAGTCTAAAACGTACGAAATTACTGTGCATAACTTTTCGTACGATTTCGTACGAACTGATAATGAGAATACACTGAATGAAGATGGTCTAAAATAATAGTTGACACTGCTAAATGATTTAAAATTACACATACAGTAGAAGAGATTCTTTTAAACTGTCAGATTTCTTTTAGACCAACAGTTAAATTTCATAAGACAAAGTAATCATTTTATATACTTTTTTATCTTATTACAAACCTAAATGGCAGTAACTGAAAGCTGCAGCATAGATTGTTTGACTTCATTATTTTTTATGGAATTATTCTAAATTGACATTCCTTATGAACAATGATAAAATGACTCAAGTTAAAATCAAATTGTATCGTTCACTTAAACCTTGTATATAAAACTGCTCCAGAATTGTAAAAACTGCAGAAAATTAATTTTTTTAGCTATTAAGATTCAAGATTACTGTTAAAATTACAGTTACACATTAATTGCCTCCACTTATAACCAAAAAAATATGCAACAGAAGAATTAGAAGCAGAAATATCAAATATATTATATACAGAATAAAAATGTGGATTATCCCCTGCCAGGACAATTTGGTTTACTACTATGCTTCATTACGTGGCTCATGGGTATGTGGGGAATTATTACTACTCTGTGCCCGTTTTGCCTCAAGGACACAATATGCTATCTGTCCCACTTGGACTTCCAGCTGGTCGTGCAAATAAACCATTCCACACATGTAGGGAAACATCAATGGGCATAGAGAGAATTAGAATTTTTATCATTAATTAATTTACTTTCTATAGAAATGTTAATAATTATGGGGATGAAAAAACAAACCATGCAAACGGAAATAGACACACTGCTAAAACAACATTTGATTAAATATAAATTGTTAAACTGCTATTTAAATTGTTATTATATAAAGCCAAGTGTGACAAAAAAAAAAAAAAACCCTCTAAAATGAGGTGGGGCTGTAATTAAGACATTAAACGTTTTTACTATTGTGTTGAATAGGGCTGTCTGTGTTTAATAAATAAATCTGTCCTGAAGGCTCCTTGTGTACCATTTATTCCATGTTCTTTGTGCAGTTGTTGCTTTCTCTATAAAAAGACTGTCCAGCTCCTTTTCTTTTTCTGTTGATGAGTAGGAGGACTCACAGTTGACTATTGTGTGAATAATTACTCGCCTGTTGAAAAAGTCAAAGCTGAGAATCCAGTGGCGAGATGTGCAAAAAGTAGGAAACAGAGGAAATGCTTAATACAGGGAATAAAAAACAAATAAACTAAGGGGCTCATAGACTGGTGCAAAATAAAGTGATTGAAAT